AGTTGGTGAATGTATTTATCTTACTGTAAATAACAAGTGAAAAATTTTTCAGCCTTATCAGTTGGACATTCCGGTTATTATACTGCTTTTTTTTAATTCACTAACGCTGTAAAAATGAATATTTCAGCCGCAGTAAAGAATCAACGTTGGCGGATTTTGGTTCTTGGCATCCTTTACGATCGGTTACGATGCCTAGAGTACGGAGACCTGTACGATTTCGTCAACTTAGTGAGTTTGATAAGGGCCGTATAGTGGGACTTCGGGAAGCTGGACTTCCTTTTCGGGCAATTGCAGTTAGAGTGCAAAGAAGTGTAGACACTGTGGTTAGGTGTTGTCAGGCATGTCTTCGAGAAGGCCGTACGCAAAGAGCAAGGAGCACTGGACGCCGCCGTAGAACAACAGACCGTGAAGATCGCCGCCTAAGATTATTGGCCTTAAGGGACCGTTTCTCCACTGCCAGGTCCATTGCAAATGAATGGTTTGCAGAACACGGAAGACCTATTTTCATGCGAAGTGTTTACCGACGAATGAGAAGTTTTTGCTTGTTTTCATACCGGCCACACTGGGTCCTCCCTTTAACTCGAGAACACCGACGTAATCGCCTTGAGTGGTGCAGACAACGGTCACTCTGGGATCAGGAATGGAACGAGTGACGAGTCTCGATTTTGTTTAGGCATGCACGTTGGTCGTGCCAGGAATCCACAGTTTTTTGTTGAAAGACATGTTCATCACACTGTTGGAGTTATGGTTTGGGGTGCTATAGCTTATGGTTCCAGGTCACCTTTAATCTTCATCAGAGGTAACATGAACGCGCAGCGTTATATCCACGAAGTTCTAGAACCCCATCTTTTACCCTATCTTGACACCCTGGCAGATCCAACTTTCCAACAAGATAATGCCCGACCACATGTTGCAAGAGTCACAATAGACTTCTTTCAACATAATGATGTCACATTGTTACCATGGCCACCAAGATCTCCCGACTTATCCCCAATTGAGCACGTGTGGGATATGATGGGTAGGAGATTGCTCAATTTGCAACGTCCTCCTCAGACTCTAGAAGCACTTCGAGAGGAGTTGGTGGTTGCCTGGAATGAGATACCACAGGAGGACATTGACCACCTGATCAGAAGCATGCCTAAGCGCGTTGGAGAATGCGTAGCACATCAGGGTGCATCCACACATTATTAAATGTCAAAGGGCTTTAAAGCAGTGCAATCATTTTGAAATTTTTATCATTTACTTATTATGCTTCATTAAGTACTTAAGCAAAATTTTATTAAAATAAAACCATTTAAACTGGGTGTTGGGATTTATATGTCACTTAGTATATCTCGTACTTATTTTAAATAGGAATTTAGTACATAGTTTGCGATTGATTTGACCAAACTTTGTTGCTAAAATAAGTTGTAACGCTTTATTACATAAATTAACCATGGTATAATCCACAACAGAAATAGTTGAAATTATCGAAATATTTTTCGGAAATGATCAGTGCGCTAATAGAACAGTAGAAATATTTAATGAGCGACATAAGAACAGTAACGTGCATCGAAAATATGTTGTAGAACTTGAAGCTGAATTTCGGGAAACTGGGTCAGTTGCCAATAAAAAACGCAACATTGAAAATCCCATAAGGAACGAAGCAATAGAAGTGGGGGTTTTAGGGCAAGTTTATGTAGAACCTACGTTAAGTACTCGCAAATTGGAGACTGTGTGGTGTTAGTCGACGTATTGTCCAACGGATTCTAAAGACCCATAGTTTTCATCCGTATAAAATTCACCTGGTACAAGAACTTAATGACGACGATTTTGATCGGCGATTACAATTTTGTGAAGATATGAGTGAACGAATTATAAACGATGAACATTTTGTATTCAACACTCGAGTTTCCAACGAATGTTCCTTTCTCTTAAATGGCGTAGTAAATCGTCATAATTGCCGATATTGGTCCGATTCTAATCCCAGAATTTATCATGAGGTTCATACACAGCAGCCACAAAAATTTATTGTTTGGGCTGGTATTTTTGGCGATCATTTAGTTGGTCTTTTTTTCTTACCCGGAAATTTGACCGGTGAAATGTATTTGGAATTAGTGGAAGACGCCATAGATCCTGCATTAACAGCCATAATTGAAAATCAGAATGATCGGCGGTACATTGCGAATAGGTTGATGTTCCAACAGGATGGTGCCCCACCACATTATGCATTACGTGTTCGACAATATTTAGATCAGACGTTTCCAGATCGATGGATTGGTAGAAGAGGTGCCATTGAATGGCCTCCAAAATCGCCAGATTTATCACCTTTGGATTTCTTTATGTGGGGTCATTTAAAAAGCAATATCCATGCTACTCAGCCAACATCATTAGAAGATCTGCGACAAAGAATTGCGAATGAGTGCCTTCAAATTACTCCTCAAATATTGCAAAATGTGCGGCAACGTTTTGAGCAAAACCTTTATTATTGCATGGAGAGTCATGGTAGCCATATTCAACATTTACTTGCCTAACGGGTCAGTTCATTCTTCACTTTTACATTACTTTGCTGCCAATCGTATTGATCTCCACTAATGAAGTATTATGTATTAGTTTTATTTAAGCTTTAAATCAATAAATCTTCAAAACTACTGAACGGAAGTAAATTAATTTTATATTATTATAAAGGGAATTGAAAGACATTTAAAATAAGGTATCACTTGACCCCCCTTTCCATTTAAGATTTCGGGGGTGGTGTCACTCCTGCTTAGGGGGCTGCACGTGCTAACGTTATTTTTTGCCAAACTTGTGTATGACTTCTCGAATAACCACAACCCGTCAATAAACGCTGGTAAATCCAGCCTGTTATTTTTTTGTTCGGATCGTAGGAGAGAAGAAATTAAAGGTCAATTAGCTATTAAAATTGGATCTCAAAGACTGTACCCGGTTGATGAGGTTAAAATTCTTGGCGTGGTAATCGATTTCAAACTTAGACTCACCAGTCATGTCAAAAATCTGTTGAATAAAACCTACTTGAGACTGAGATCACTATATGTCAATCTTAAACTAAGGAAAAAACTGTGCTCATCTTTGGTTATGCCGATATTCAACTACTCTGATATTTTATATTATCCGTGTCTCGTTGTTACTAGAAATCGGATTCAAATTGTGCAAAACAATTGTGCTAGGTTCATCTGCGGTTCAAGGCGCTTTGACCATGTTTCTGGTAGCCTTATTGAATTAAACTGGATGATAACAAAACATATTGTCAAATATCATTAGCTTGTTTTCATTCATAAACTAATACTTATGTCAAAACCTATATACTTTAGAGAAAAGCTGATCTTTAGGCGTAACATTCATCATTTGATAAGTACACCTATTCACTCCACAGCTATATTCCAGCGTTCTTTCATGTACAGTGCTGCAGTGTTACACAATGCTTTGAGTCCTGAATTATAAACCATTTCCTTAAACTGCTTCAAGAAAGCTGTCAAACCTCATGTCTCCTTGGATCCATAGTCTTAATTAGATTGCTATAGATATACTGTTAAATGTTTCTTTACTTCCTTTGTGTACATATAGTAAACCTTGGTGCAACATGTGTATATATATATATAACTTGAGACGTGGTCATTGTCGTCTAGACCCCCCACCATTTTGTGCAATCATCAAGTGGCTTCACGATGTAATGCTCTAATGTTTTTTTAAATAATTTTTAATCTGTTTTTAACTTGTCTTGTCATATTTGATATAATTTTGACCATTGTACCATCTATCCAGCTCTCACCATGTTACTGGATGTTTCCCTCATCCTATACGTAAACAACAATTAGCAACATCCTTACATACTACTGTAAGTTGAGTCAATTTAAATTCATTTTACACTTTTGTTGCTATTGTTATCATTGTAGTTGCAGCTTCTGATGATGATGGCAAAGTCCATTGAAAGCTAGAGAGAATTAAAAAAAGTATAAAGAGTCCTCTTTGCTTAAATTTTGTCGAAGTACCCAACAAAAGGCGGAAGCTTTAATTTTTCACCTATATATATATATATATATATTTATTTGATATCTGCTACTTAAGAACTGTTTTTTTGCATGGGTGGTTAAGTGTAAGAGTAGCATATTGCTAAACTTCGCCACCATATGCAACTCTTGTTTGTCTGTATGAAATTGTACAGTTTAAATAAAGACGATTATTATTATTGTTATTATTATTATATTGGGTACTAGTTCTGTGGCCATAGACAATTATTAATATCAGTGGCGGCTCGTGCCAATTCAGTGAGGTAGTGCCAGAATGGAAGCCATAATTTTGAATCGATTCAAAATTGTAAAGAATAACTTATAACTTACCCCTGATAGTTAGTGGTCAAAGTTCTTGAGGTTCAATAAATCTATATGTCCAAAAAAAAATCAAAAATAAAACTATTTACACACGCGCACCAAATTATAAAACAAGTATGGAGAAGTACCTATAACTTCAAAGTTTTCTATACATGAAGTCCATTCTTCTTTCTTTTTTGGTAGCAAAGTTTTCGATTACCTTATTATTAAAATTTTCAATGCCACTAACAAAATGTTTTTCTGCAGACAGCATTCCTAAAGCACTAAGCCTTTCTTCCTTCATTGTGTTTCTGAGGAAAGTTTTAATCCGTTTCAGCATTGAAAAAGAGCGTTCTGCTTCAGATGTTGACATCGGTATAGTGATTAAAATACTTAAGAGCTTAAGAGTTTCTTGAAACGTACAATTTAATCCTTCCTCGTTCAATAAAATGGATAGTGGAACAGCTCCAGAAGTAGTACTCAATTCTTCTCTCTGATATAATACTTGTAACTCAGTTTTAAGCCTGTTTTTGTCTAAAAATGAAAATTGTGTGCATGTGTCATTTAAATGTGCTTCAGGAAACTGATGTTTATAAACAGAAAACTTTTCAGACACAAATAAATTAGAAGCAACTAAATGCCCAGAAAAGTTAAATCTTGTTCTTATTTGCGATAATACTGCATCGCATATTTCTAACGCTTCCCGTTTTTTGCTGCCTTCTTCAACTTGCCTTTTTTTCTTGCCGGTTCATCAGTTTCTCTCTGCACTCGTTCAATCTCGTCAATAATGCTATCCATTTGTTCTCGTATAGTTTGAATTGCTGCTTCAAAATTCTCTAAATCATTTTTGACCTTAACAGAATCGGTGCATACTTTTTGTAATTGGTTAAAGACAATTTCAACATGTGGCATTATTTTATGGAATATACTTAGCCAAAATACAAAATTTGTATCTTGCAGCTTTAATTTGTACCCACTGGCTTGATTAATCGACGAAGAATCGCGTGAAGTACTTTCTATATTGTCCATAACTTCAATCAGGTCTTTCCTATTTTCATAAACTGTATGAACACCTCGTGACTGAAAATTCCAACGTGTTTGGGAAGATCTTGGCAATCTGCGATTAACTATTTCATCCAAAATTTTTGTTCTTTGAGGAGACGTCGAAAAAAAAGAGCACAATCCAGATAAATTATGGAAAAATATTCTAGCCTGCTTATTGACAGAGCATGCGCTTGTCATAATTAGATTTAACTGGTGTGCATAGCAATGAACATAATTTGCAAGTGGATAAGTTTCCTTAATAATCTTTTGAACGCCATTCAATTCACCACTCATAACAGACGCACCATCATAGCTTTGAGCTATTAATTTGTTTGGATTTTGATCTATTAATGGATTTACAACATTTAAAACGCATGCAGCGATTGATTTGGCATCGTGTCCGTCGGGGACGTAAAATCTCCAAAATCTCTCAACTGGTTGTCCTTTACACAAATATCTGAAAATAATAACTAACTGAAATTCACAGGCTACGTCAGTCGTTTCATCGGCAATTACTGCAACAAAAGGAGAATTTGCAATCTCCTTCTTAACTTCTTCATGATAAACATCTAGCATGCACTCAAGAAGCTCGTTTTGAGTTGTTTTTGAGGTACCCTTGAAAAGTTTGGCACTTTGAATATGGACTTTCAATTCGTTGTCTAATTCGGCGCTAAAATTCACCAGCTCCTTAAATATGCCTCTGTTTTCCGAATTTTCCTTTTCATCGTGACCCCTTAAGGCTAACTCAAATGCTCCACAAAACCTTATACAATTAATAATTTTATTCAATACATATCGATTCTTATCCACTTGATTATTATGTTTAATTAGATCATTGCGATAAGCCGAATTGAGTTGAGTCCTTATATTTAATTTACCAAGAATAGAAAAGCTAAAAACATTATTCATATGGACTTTAGATTTTTCGTGGGTCTTCATTTTATCCCATATATGTATAAGATCATCTGTACCTTTTTTTGACCAAGTCTCGTCACCTCCAAATAGAACACATACAAAACAAAATAGTTTATTCGTTTCTTCACAACCACATATCCAGCTGTTTTTATCGTACACATTTTTATTAAATTTGCGACAGCGCGATTTTTGTCCGCTACCACTTTGTTTCTCAATTTTTAAATCGGGTATTGGCCGTCCTAATTCTTTAATTTGCAGTTTTTGATCCAGCGAAAAACCACTAAATGATTTTTTTAATATCCCGATTTTATTCATTTTCACTAGTTTTAATAAAACAGTAAAAAATATGATCACAAAACAGAGCAGTTCATTAACACTAGACGTACTAAAACAAAAACGTTATTTCTCACTTTTCAGGTAAAAAAAGAGCGAAATCAGCACTAGACGTAATCATAACGAAACGACCGACCGAACAAAAACACCGCCGATATCATTTGATAACGAATTACGACTGATGATGTGCCTGGCACAAATTATACTTGTCTTTCGCTATTCACCTCATATAAAAATGTGTATTGTAGCGTTATCTCTGTCGCTCGTATGCGATGCTGGTAAAATTTCTCTCTTTTTATTTGGGCCGGCCCGACATTGGCACAAGTTGATGACGTCAAGGTCAAGGCATGCTTTATATCTCGTCGCGTGGTTCGGGTGCTTGCGGTGTTGTCACGTTGTCAGTGTTGTCACTTCATATAATTTATACCAAAAAAAAATGAAAAAGCAAAAAATAAAGTAAAACATTGAAGATTGAAAAAAATATTCTTTTTGAAGAAGACAAGGTAGTGCCATGGCACCGTGGCACTACCTCACGAGCCGCCACTGATTAATATTTCTTCCTACGTTTTTAGTGACAAACATCTTAGGTGATAAAACATCAAACAGAGCACATGCTGCTTTTGTCCATTTGACCAAAGGCAGCTGTTTCAAGCTTTTTTGCAACTCATCAGCTTGATCTAGGCTTAGTCTCAGCTGGACAAAGAACGAAAACATTGCAACTATCCTCTATCCGAGGTATGACTTCTATCAAATTAAGATAACATAAAGCGCCATCTGTTACCAGAATCGAGAGTGAAAGCAGCATGTTTAGTTGTTCAACGGTCAGTAGACGACATCTACCATACTGCCAGAGTCGTCAGCCTCTAGCGGTCACAGTGGTGACTGGGCTTCAATCGCGGACTAAGATCTTTAAAGTTCCAACCGATGGCGCTTTACGCTGTCGATAAGTCAAACAGAAAACTTTTGGTTGAAAATTTAGGTATGAAACACCCCTACGAATATTTACGGTATACATGGCGCTCGCACTTCACCTGACATTTTTTTCCGTAAGGACTGTTCGTCTCCTAATATCCTCAGTTCGATCATACCAACAGCTAGGCCACAGGTTGGCGGACACTAACACCGAAAAAATTTGTTAAAATTTTTTTTCAAACAAGTTTCAAAAAATCGTTTCTTGATCTTAGCGATTTTTCTCCAAAGTTAACTGTTTTCGAGGTGGTTAAGTGTCTAAGTTAAAGCACAAGTCTTCAGCTATTAGATCCTGGTTACTAGATGAAGGATCTATCCATGTCGTATTTCACAGTGACGTTTTCAGGACTTTAATTTTTCAATCTGTCTGAGCATCTGCATGAACTTTCTTGCAATGCTTGGCACCTTCAAGTGCATGAAGGAGTAGAATTCCTAGTGTTCTTCCTTGGGTACTCCCAGAGATGGTAGAGAGCACTTTCCATTTTTAAGCAGATAACCCACCTGTTCCTCCAAGAGCTGATGGGGCAATTGACGAGACGTGTCCTTATTGTTAATGTTGTTTTGAATTACTGTGATTTTTCTATATGATATATTTGCTCAATGGACGCAAATGAGATAAAAAAAGTAGAAAACTTTATCAGCTGTACTCTCACAGGACACACGCTTAATTATAATGTTTAATCGCTGATATAAATCTGCGAGATACGGCAGTTCGCTATCTCTGTTCTCTATCTTCTTCTTCGTCTTCTCTATCTTCGTCTGCTATCATCGCACCCATTATTATGGCGTGTGGATTATGAATATGTATAAGATGCTTCGCTGCATTGGAGGTCTTAAATAATGCGTTTTTTCGACAGACGTGCACTTGGATGCATTTATTTACGTAGAGGCGACGAGATGGGAGGAATATTTTTTTCGACAATCATTTTTTGACTTCTACAATCCAAGATAATCAATATTACCAGGCCAAAGGCGGATCCTTCTCCATAGAAACAGGATCCATGGACATAGTCTTCAAAGCAGAGATGTTATTTGATCCTTATGGCATATCACTTACGAGTTCAAAGTGTCGTTTGTACAGATACTACACAAGATTAAGCAAAAGAAAGTAGAGCGGTTATACAACAGTCAAGCAGGTAAATGACGTTTTTGTCGTTCCTGGTCTGTTTATTTCTTAGCAGTTTTCCTTCTCTTTTTCGGATATTCCTTTTTTTTAATTTACTGTAATCACAATTATCATAATTGATTCATTTATAGGTTGTGAGCAGAATATTTGGAAAATTTTGAGCGCTCAAACTGTCAAAGGTAGTTGTTTGAAACTTGATGAAAGTGTGGATGAAGGAGATGTTGTTTCTCGGACTTCCTTCGTCTATACGGTTTTTGATTCATGTCATTTGGATTGATGTGATCTTCAATTGTCAGTTCAAGATTGAATATAATATCACAGCCGACGTTAACTACGAGCCGTGAACAAAGAAGTCTGGCAACGTAGGTGGTAGTGTTACTCCCGCCGCTGCTTGCTGCATCGACGCAACTCGTGCTCAAAACGCTGAGAAAACATAACCTTTTCAATTTGTGATTTTGGAATCCCAGAGGCTGTAATTAAGACATAAGCTTGTTTTCTAAGCTTCAAAGTGTGTGTATGTGTTCAAAGTGATCGGTGACTGTAATATATGAGAAATGGACTCCAGTTGTAGTGCTTCTGTGCTTTAAAAATAAACTAAGAAATGTGACTGTGGCTGTTCGCGCCTCAGGACGCTAAGGATTTCAACTATTGAAAACGTGCAAATTCAGGTTGTATTTTTCTTTTTTCATTTATCAAGTATTTGACGCAGACAATATGCCTCGTTGTTGCTGTGTTTCTTTATGCAATGCAAACTATAATTCTGCTTTGAAAACAGAAAGCTTTGTTTCAACTTTTCGCTTCCCAAGTACCGAAAGTCTGAAAAACAAATGGCTTATGGCAATTCCCAGAAAAAATTGGACACCTTCAAAATATTCAGCTGTGTGCAGTCTTCATTTTAGAGAATCGGATATCATCAGGACAGAAAATATAGTTTTGGCGGATGGAACAGTCCAAAATAATATACCTTTGAAATATCCAAAATTGAAAGAAAATGCTGTTCCCTCCATTTTCCCAAACTTGCCATCATATCTTTCAAAAACTGAAGCACCCAAAAGAACTGACCCAATGCAAAGAAAACAAAAATTAATTGAGAAACATGAAAAAGCTATCCAGAATTTCGATGATATGGATAAGATCAAAGATAAATTTAGTTCAAAAATGTGGATTTGAAGTTATTTGTGTTGTTACTGATAATCACCGAATTAATAGAGCAATGTTCAGGAAATTAGCAAAGGATTCATCAGAAAATTATTCTATTCCAAATCCACATAATCCTGATAAGAACATATATTTAACTTATGATGTTGTGCATATTTTCAAGAGTATCAGAAATAATTGGATTATTTTAAAAAACCTAGACAAAACTTTTGTATATCCTAATTTTGACAATAATTATATTATTCAGTATGCTAAATTTGAAAACATTCGTGCTGTATATCAATTGGAAAAAGAAGCTGTAGTTAAGAAAGCATATAAATTAAATTATAAAAGATTGCATCCAAATTCATTTGAAAGGCAAAATGTAAATTTTGTAGATAATTTATTCCATCACTCAACAATAGCTGCTATGAAAGAATTAAAGTTTAATGATGCTGCACACTTTTTGGAAATAATCAGGAATTGGTGGGATATTGTCAGTAATACAAGTGTAATAAAAGGAGAATTGAAGCGAAACGAGTTTTGTAAGCCTATTACCAATAAATATGATTATAGAGTACAATTTTTAAAAAAATTCCTGATATGGTTAGAAAAATGGCATAATCTAGAGAATAATAATGGACACCTGACACCAGAAACGTATACAGCTCTATATCAAAGCACGCTGACTCTACTTAATATAATTGAATATTCATTTAATCAATTTGACATTGAGTATGTATTGCCTAGAAGATTCACCACTGATAATTTAGAAAAACGATTTGGCAATTATAGACTTTTATGTGGCTGCAATTGCAATGTGTCATATGATGAAATTTTAAATGATGAAAAGAAAATACGGCTGAAGCATATTTTCAATGAAAAGAAATCGTCATTTTCTTTAGCAGAAATCAAAACAAGGTTCCAAAACTGCTTAGAAACTCAAAAAAATTTTGATTTCTTGGATACCAAACAAAATCCTGAAGTTTTGGATATATTCAATGAAGTATTTGAGACAAATTGCTTAGCCAGTTGTGACATAGAGGATAGTACTAAGACTTATATATCTGAATATGCTTCACACGCTATCTCTAAAAACCTAAACTGCGAGATATGCAAATCGCTAATAGTTAAAGAAAAAGGTTCATTAACAACAAATGTTTATTTTGATCATTTGCAAAGAGGAGGACTGTCAATTCCAACCAATTATGTACCAATCATATTCTACCATATGTATGACATTTTTGAATCTATTATTAATGTAGATAGATTGGAAATTTTCTTCTTGAAAAGCAATAATCAAAAATTTATTTTGTGTCAGTTAACCTTGCTCAGCATTCAGTCTGACTTTATATACAGTGAATTTTCTTTAACTTGCATCTGTGACCGCAATTATGCAGATATTTTATCTAAGCTTTTGTCTATTTTTTTAAACATAATTTTGAATGATTATGTAAAATTGAAAAATAACAGTAAAACTGAAAGTAAATGTATTAAAAACAAACAGGTAACTCCACATTTCCAAGCTGGGCCTGTTGGAACACAGTGTGCTGATACCAAAAAACGTAAACTAAATACTTTTAATTAGGTTAACTGCATTAGCGACTCATATATCACGATTATTTCGTATTTTTAAATTTTTTAGAGCTATTTAGAGCAGGTTATACAGTAGGGCGTTGTATTGACTTTACTAAGGACAGTACGAGGAAATATCTACCTAGGTGGAGTATTCTGAATAACTTTCCGTCTGATTGTCTCATCGTGTGTATAGAGATGAAACACAACGTTATCAGTGTCTTTTTTGTCAAAAAATAAAACATTTTTTGCATTTTTATGAATTGTTTCTTCAATTGCAGCTTGTTAACAAATAACAGTACAGCTCTAAAATTGTATGCGAATATTCATCTTTATGGAAGAACTGTGAGTGATTGTTTTTTTTCTTATAACTTTCTGACTTCCTAGAATAGGTGATAAGGATAGTAATAGTAATATTTATTTGTCTCCAAAATACGCTTACAATTTTATGGAAGATAAATGAAAAGCCCGCAGAAAGGTGGCACTTGTATGCGGGTCAAAAAATTAGAAAGTACTTATATAATAACGGTTGAATTACAATAAAATGGTTTTCTTTATTGTAATTCAACATACAATTTGATATATCACTGAAAGTACTAACCTCTAAAGGATCACATGTGCGTTGCCATTACATCAACTGGACCAGAACACAATACAAGAGACCACTTAAAATGGGCCACTAAGATTTGATGACTTAACTAAATTAGCGACTATCTTACCTATAACTATAATAAAAGCGTGTTAAAAAGGGAAAAAATCAATCAGTAAAGAACCTTCAACTTGCAATCTATAGCTCGTGCTTCCTAGGATCTTTGTTCGAGTGTTTTCCCCGACTTTGGGACAGCATTTTCTGACGGTTAAATAAAAGTAATCACCTGCTTAATTCTACTGTAAAAGAGAAATTTTGACATACAAATTCAGAGCTTTACTAATAATTGTTAAAAAGTTACGATTGCAGAAAAAAAGCGTAGTTTCTTGAATGTTATATTTCTCGTTTATTACTGTATTTGTTATAATCCGTTAATCTGTTGGTGGTGTAAATAAATAAATAATGTCAATAAATAGTAAAAAAAAAATAGTCTAGACTTGAAAGAGTGGCTTTTCTCTGGGTTCATGGAAATGCCGGGTAATTAGGGCCAATCGCCTGATTTGTCTAGGTGCCAGAGGATCATGAATAGACCTCGAGCTAGGTTGAATGCTAGCAGACCAGAATGTGACCATGTATCGCGGTCTAAAATTCAAGAGATTTAAGAATTGAGACAATTCAAAGAAATCCGCTTGAACTTTCTAGGAATTTCAATTGGTATTCACACTCTTCAGCTCTTACAAAAAATTCCAAGTGACCTCCAATATTAATAAAGCACGTACATTACAATACG